CGGCGGCTATGGGCTGTCCTAGGTCGATTCGCTCGCCCCTAGAGCCTCGGGATTCGCAGCTCTCAAACACGAAGAACAGCGAAGAACGAGATAGAAAAACGGTGGAGAGATAAAACGTAGATGAAAAAGTAGTATATTGATTTGTTCGATTGTGTGTTGTTCAATCGGCCGTCACCCCCAACATATATAAGAGGCGGTTGGACTTCCCGTACAAGTAAAGGATTCATCTAGGCTTTCCTTACAAGAAAAATTACATCAATTCACGTCCTAGAGTCCTAATTCTATTCTAACTCGGATTCAGTCTGAATCTCGCCCAAACTCTGTCTTCCTTCTTGCGCGGGCCGCCGGGCTTGCATATGATCTCCAATCAAGACGGCCCGAATATCAAACTTGTGCGCCTCGACGATACGAACAACTCTCATGTTGATCATTTTTTCAAATAAGGCCATCTTGAATACTTTTCGAGGTCATCTTTATCTTCCAGTCGGACTCGGTTTTACAGTAGACTGGATTATCCGAGTCTCGTAGTGAATTTGTAGGCTATATATTATCTCTGATGATGATGACTCCAAAATCAAAATTTATCGTCTTAATGATACGCACAACTTTTATATTGAACACTTCTTCATCTAAGGTCATTTTGATAAACTTTCGAGCACATGTTCAATTTCACTGGGCCTTGAGCTCATCCACTCGGATATTAGATACTTTCACTCGGATCGTCCGATTGGACTTTTTCACTCGGAAGACAATCTTTCACTCGGATGACTATATTTCCACTCGGATGACTATATTTCCACTCGGAAGGCACTATCTTATTCACTCGGATGACTATATTTCCACTCGGAAGGCACTATCTTATTCAATCGGCAAGTTTTCGTCCCGATGGTAATCTTTTCACTCGGAATATTTTCACCTGGACGACAATTTCACTTGGATGATCATATTTTCACTCGGATGACTACATTTCCACTTGGATAATAATAAGTTCATCCGGTCAACAAACTTTCACTCGACCGTAAACTTTCACTCGACCGTAAACTTTCACTCGGATGGTAAACTTTTCACTCGGATTTCCGACTGAAAACATAGCCCGATCTTGATTTGTCTCTCCAGGCCTCATATGATCTCGGATTGAGACGAATTATATATGAAAATCGATCGGCTCGACGAGACAAAACTTTTCCATGTTGAAGGTTTTTCGATTCAAGGCCGTATTGATGGCCGAATTACTCGCGCAACCTATCAAACAAGTGTCTGGCACCTCGTGCCATATTTCTGTTGAGGTTCAGTCTGCAGTATATTGCATCTAACTTTTGCATATGAACTCGGATTGAGATGATTTATATATCAAAATCGATTGCCTTGACGAGACGAAGACAATTTCTTAAGAGTGCTCCTTCATCCGAGGTCATCTTGAAGACGTGATTGGCCAAAAACCACTCGGAACATTGAACTACGCCACTCGGAGTATAGTTTCGGTCCGTAAGATAAAGTCGAATGAATATAACCGAAACATCAAAGTGGTTCCACTCGGTGACGTGAATATTTTTATGCTGAAAACTCATTCACTCGAGACCATCTTCATTGCAATTTGTATCTTGCCAAAATCAGGTGTCAACGCCAATAATGTAAGTACGTTGCGTGTATGCATCATGGGATGAGCCATCGGCGGTGCATCACAGCTAAGCAAACCCAATGAGATCACCCTCGTTTACACGATCACATCCACATCCACATCCACTAGGAGGAATGTTCTTTTGTCGGTGCAGAGCAGTGATAGGCCTGGGCGTTGGGTAGAAACCGAAATTTCATGAGCTCATCTGCGTCATGAGCACTACTTCAAAACCTGGATATCCAATTCGGAGCCTGGGCGCCAGGTGCGTGCAACGGGTGTCAAGACTCATCTGCACCATGTGAACAGTAAAACTCAAAATAATAGCTGAAAATTGAAAAGGAACAATTTTTTTTATGCAAGATGATCCAGTGCGTGCGTCAGGTGCATGCAAAAAAATTCGTGGCTAAATGATATTTGAACTCGTGGAAAAAAAACACAAGTGAGCTCTTAACCGTGTTGTTTTCAAAAGTTTCTCACATGCTTGACATTGGGTTTTTATTTTTGCTAAGAGCTATCGAAAAGTCCAAACTCCATGATATTTGACACGGACTTTATGCACACGAACATCTTGCATCACAAAAAAAACAGATTTTTTAAACATTTTAAACAATTTTACTGTTCACTCACGGGGTGCAGATGCACCCGAAAGCCAAAACGCCGCATAGCTTTCATTTCGAAGGGAGTAAAAGTGAGTCCAAGTGGACTGGATGGTTTTCCCCTATTAATAGAAGTATACTTTCTTCCACAAATGTATCTGAGCGGGGCAATAACCTTTTCAAATGTAATTTCGTTGGATTTACACCTTTAAGAGCGGGGCAATAACCTTTTAAAACATAATTTTGTCGGATTTACACCTTTACATATACACTACTGGATTAAAAAATTACCCCCTGATCGGTTTTCAAACTTATGAGACATTGGTCGATGTGGTTTTGATGTTTCATTGACCCTCCTCATGTGGAGGAGACGTCAATGTGTGACCTTTCGTTCTCCGATGTGAGAAGGGAGAAGAACCTACTGGTGGCCAGTGGAAGAACAAGACGAGAGATTATTGTTCATATTGCAAAATTGCAATAGTTTGTATACTGCTATAATATAAAATGTACATTTGAGAGACTGGATGCTAAAATTACAATGAAGCTTTGTTAGGGAGTAATTAGTTTTAGTAAGGGAGAAAATTAGTTGTAGTAAGTAAGAGAACAAGCAATTAATTCATCATTAGCAAGGCTAATCCATACACACCCACAAAGAAAAAAACAGCTAAAAAAGGCTCAATCATATCATGAGCTAGCAAGAACGAGCGCATCATTTTTGGGTCTGCCAAAACTCAGAAGGGTTTGGTTGGAAATGTCTGCCACCAATAATGTTCAATACATTTGTGCATCATGGGATGGGATAAGCACAGTGGTGCATCACTGCAAAGCAAACCCAATAAATGAGATCACCCCCGTTTACATGATCACTCGCATCCGCTAGGGTGTCTTTAGTTCATAGGATAGGAATGTCATAAAAATAGAAAGTGAGATAACAACCTAAAAAAATAGAAAAAAGGTGTGTGGAAACATAATAAAATCCAACAAAGTCTACCGTGTAGGCACAAAATGAAACGTAATCATCACAAAATTTTGACTCGTCATGGACCAATGGGGGGATCTATTTGATGTTATATACTATCTGAGAGGGTAAACTAGACCAAAATTCACATCGAGAGACCATCATTCTGCTAGGTACTTTCTTCTGCTTGCTTTTTGCGAGAAAACTTCCAATCTATTAATCATAGCATGACGGTACAAACAACACAATAATAATAATAATTGGGATAATTAGTTTTATGCCCTTAGTTGTGTCCCACTCGGCTGTTTTACCCCTAATTTCCAAAAGCCATCGGTTATGTCCAAGTCACTTTGCTCTTCTTATGCTTTTGCCCTTTGACCGTCATTTTGAAAACTTCATAACAAATTCATACTAAATCAGAAAAATGCAAATAAGACACAAAAATGTTTGAAAAAACATCAGCTATATGTCAATGTCATTTGTATTCATGACAGAAGTGTTGGAAAGTGCCCATCTGAGTTTTAGCTCTTATGATACCACCATAGACAATAAAAACACTCATGGCAAAAACCGATATCACTTGGGCCACTCTTGTAGCAAGATCTATTCTTGTTGTTTTAATTTTTTTTGTACTACTTTATTTTACAACCTCACAACTACTCTATTGTCTCCCATTTTATTTTGTTTCCATTGACAAAGAAATGTTACTTTTAGGTACAAAAACTTTAATATTTGGATTTGAACAGAGCACAAGAATTTTCTTAGATAGAAAAGCAATGTTTTCTTAAAAGATAGATCCAAAGGCCATCTTATATATTATATTTATCAAAAAAACAATAGCCAATATTATGGAAAAACAACTGGACGCGGACCGACCAACACAAAATAAAATTACACTTCACAAATATACTAGCCTTCTTCTCTCTTCAATTGTACGCCGTCAGTCGAAAATTAAAACTTGCAATGAACCAACGACAAAGAAAGAGACACGTGCGAACGCCTTCACCATACTAGATTTAAAGACCGTAATATCCGGTCATCCTTTGAGACGAGATTCATATAACTTACTGAAGAAGCATTGGTTGGAGCATTATCCCACACACCACCGGTTTAAAGGGCTCATTTGGTTCTTGGGGATGGAAAAGCCTGGGAGTAAACCCCCAAGTGGGGATTTCCCTGCTCACATAGTATCCCCGTCAAAACCATGGAGAATATCATGTTGCTGTTTGGATCGAATCTTGGAGGAAGGAGAAGGAGGATTGGAGGCATATGACAGAGGGTTTTCGCTGGACGGAGGCGATGGAGAATCAGGCGCACGCGTCGTGGGTTTCCTCCCCGACCCCTCGTGACGTGGAAAACTGCCCCGTGGAAACGACGCATATCGGGATCCATAATCCTAGTGAGCGAGCGACCAAATGCTCCCGTAGTTTTCCATGGGCCGACTTGTCCCGTGGGCTGTACGCCCCGGTTTTGGACGGGGATCCCTGAGGGATCACGTCGAACCAAACAAGTCCTTAGGGTTGTAGTTGGGGGGAGGGAATGCCCTTTTATGGGAGCACCCAAGTTCCTCCAAAGGCCCGGCCTTAAAAAAATCCAAGTGGGGTTCATAGTTTTCCTTTCCTCCTTCTGAGAGGAAATGGGCTGGGTGGTCAATGGTGATGAATAAAAGCCTGCTCCCAGGAGCAGCCCAGAACACACCTAGTGCCCTAACGTATCGAAAGCCTAGAGAAGCCCAATTTACTCCACCGTCCCTCCCGTCCACTCCGCTCTTACCCCCCTCACCGCCGGCCACCGCCGCCGCAGCCGCCGCGATCGATCGCCGTCCGCCATGGCGCTACGCAGAGCGGCCTCCCTCGTCCTCAGGCAGCGCCTCCGGACCCTCGGCCCCGCCCCCGCGCCCAAGCCCCTAAACCCTCTGCTCCCGCATCCCCGCCGCCACTACTCCCCGCGGCCGCCGCCCGCGCTCCCCGCGTCCGCCCGCGTCCTCGCGGAGGCGGCCGAGGAAGCGTTCGAGGCGGCCTCCACCACCACCGACCTCTTCGCCGCCTTCTCCCGCCTCGAGAACGCCGTCTCGCCCACCGACAAGCGGCTCGCCCTCGCCTGCCTCAAGCTCGGCCAGCACCTCGACTCCTCGGCCTCCGCCGACCCCTCCCGCGTCCTCGAGCTCGCGCTCCGCTCCGTCGGGATCCTCGAGGCCGGGGGCGCCAGGTCCTCCGGGGCGTCGTCGGACTCCGACGCCGTCTCGCTCGCCATGGCCCTCCACCTCGCCGGCTCCGCCTCCCTCGACCTCAACCGCTTCCACGACGCGCTCTCCTTCCTCTCCCGCTCCCTCCGCCTCCTCACCCCGCTTCTCCCGTCTAAAGATGCCGCCGTTGGGGATGAGGGCGGCGACTCCGACGCCGAAGGGTTCGACGTGAGGCCCGTGGCGCACGCGGTGCGGCTGCAACTCGCCAACGTGAAGACGGCGCTGGGGAGGCGGGAGGAGGCGCTCGCCGACCTGCGCGCCAGCGTGGAGCTCAAGGAGTCGATCCTGCCGCCGGGCAGCCGGGAGCTCGGCGCGGCCTACCGGGACCTCGCGGAGGCGCACGCCTCCGTGCTTGACTTCAAGCAGGCGCTGCCCTTCTGCCAGAAGGCGCTGGAGCTGCACGAGTCGACGCTGGGCAAGAACTCGGTGGAGCTCGCGCATGACAGGCGGCTGCTCGGTGTGATATACACTGGCCTGGAGCAGCACGAACAGGCGCTTGAGCAGAATGAGATGTCCCAGAAAGTGATGAAGAAGTGGGGCGTGGCCGGCGCCGATCTCATTCATGCCGAGATTGACGCGGCAAACATCAAGATTGCGATGGGGAAGTTTGATGAGGCCGTAAGGGTGCTAAAGGATGTCGCTAAGAAGGTGGAGAAGGACAGCGATGCGCGAGCTCTAGTGTTCATATCGATGGCCAAGGCGCTCGCCAACCAGGAGAAGGTCGGGGACACCAAGAGGTGCTTGCAGATTGCTTGCGACATTCTAGAAAAGAAGGAAGTGTCTGCACCTGACAAGGTGGCCGAAGCGTATCTTGAAGTGTCCTCACTGTACGAGATGGTGAATGAATTTGACAAGGCAATATCTTTGATGAAGAGGAGTTTGGGGATGCTTGAGAGGATCCCTCAATCACAACACTTGGAGGGGAATGTCGCAGCTAAGATTGGATGGTTATTGCTTCTGACAGGGAAGGTGACCGAGTCCGTCCCATATTTGGAGGATGCAGTGGAGAGGATGAAAGAAAGTTTTGGGCCGAAGCATTATGGGGTAGGGTATGTGTATAACAACCTGGGGGCTGCGTACATGGAGATGGACCGCCCCCAGTCTGCTGCACAGATGTTTGCACTGGCAAAGGAAGTCATGGATGTTTCCTTAGGGCCTCACCATTCAGATACAATTGAGACCTGCCAGAGCCTCGCCAATGCATACAACACGATGGGAAGGTACTACCATTTCTGTTTACTTTTCTTTTCAAATGGGCGTTCACTCAAACAGGAACATGATTTCTTTCTTTTAGTCTGGCAGAAAATTCAATGGTTGTCTAAGATAATTTGCATGTTAATCTGCAAGTAGGTTTGTTTTTGCATATTCCTGCGTTTTAGCTAAGTTTACATGCTACTATGCAACAAATGCTAAGCTAAAGATTGTTGCCAAACACTGTAGAAGTACAGACTGTTGGGTGCTAGTCCATAGGTA